GTTGACCAATGTCATAAAACAATATGTGTACTACTGTTTCATGAGAAACTATTTGTTCTGTAAGCCTTCACCTGAAGTACAATAAATAAAAAAAATGCTTCTGACTGCCTCCAAGCACACAGCTGACAGAGAAAACTATGCTGTCAAGGGGAAGTTGAAGAGGAAAAGCTCAGCACTCAAAAGAATGTAACCGGAAACTTGGCTCACATCCCTAACGCAATGTTATCGAATAGTTTGGTTTTGTTAAATCGGTTCCTTTTGAATGCTAAATCAAGATGTTGTAAACAAGGTTTGCAGCAAAGTCCAAGAAAGAAGAGCTCTCACGGGGAAGAGAAGGCTGGGATTTGACTAGTGAAGCATTTGATTCAATTAGTGCTGCTTATTAAGTTACTATTGCTACAGTGTTTACAGCCATTACCAGATCACACCATAAGGACTCTCTTACCCTTTGCCCCATTTAAGCGTCATTGATTGATCAACTCCTTGACAGGAGACCATGGCAAAGAAGGTGGTGGTGATTGGAGCTGGGGTCAGTGGCCTGATCTCTCTCAAGTGCTGTGTGGATGAGGGACTTGAGCCCACTTGCTTTGAGAAGACTGAAGATATTGGAGGGCTGTGGAGGTTCAAAGCAAGTAAGATTTTCTTGTTTCTTAAACAGGTTGTACTGTGATTTCAGGGTGAATCGTAGCTACTGATTGGTCTTGTTGAAGAATTTCTTGAGCAACTTTGATCAGATTTAATTTATGCAGCTATTCGGGGGCTGAATCACGGGTTGGCAGCTCTCACGCGGTCAATACCCTCCTAACCCAGGTGACCAACCCAAGCTTGTAAAGGGCCTCTTCTTTTGGATCCAGCAATTGTCTTATAGTTTGTAATTTTGTCATTCTCAAAGCAATATACTGATAGTAGAAAACATTTTACAAAGTAGAAGTGATAGACATTCTTTTCAAGACATCATCTCTATTTCAATCACTGAGCCAAATGCCTCTTCGGAGAGTGTACCCTTAATTGCTACTGACTTTATTTCTCTCTCAAATAACCCATGCTTGTTTGCTTAGCTTTACTGACAACACTCTAGTACAACTGCTGGAAACTCTTGATTAAAGAGATTCTATTTACTATATTCATTCTATTAGCCAAACCCAAATGTTTATAATGCTAGTTGTCCTTCAGAAATTGTAGAAAGATGTAGAAAGCTACATAGAAAGACAGATGTAAGGATTTATAATTTAATCCTTCTCACAATCTTGTAAGTAGGGGTTTGCCGCCTCTTAGCTGTGAGAGCTTGGGCAAATTATTTACATCTCATTGTCTCAGTTTTCTCAGTTATATAATGGGGATAATAACAGAAAGGTATAATTATCTCATACTGCTGTGTGCAAGGTTAAGGGAGATAATTGGTGTAAAGAGCCTAGCACAGTTCCTGACTCATAATAGAGTTCAATAAATGTAAGCTACTAATGATAACTATATTCATATTTTATAGATGAGCAAACAGAAACTGAGGGAGTTAAGTGGCTTAGCCATGGTCACATAGCTAGCAGAACTGGCATTCAAGCTCAGGTCTACATGACTCCTAAGCAGCTGAGCCCTACTACTAACCATGCTCTAAATCTGTATTCATCCTTGATAAGGCTAAATAAAAGTTTAAGCTCAGAATTCAAGAACATTGACTTTAGGATTGTGTATCAGGTATATCTGAGGTACTAAGACAAGTGAGAATACTCCAAACAGGAACAATAGGTACAGATGCATAAAGAGCAGACTTTCATACTAGAGAGACCATACAAGTGCTCAAAGAATAAGTTTCCCTGCAGGCTGACCCAGTTAGGGGGATGACAAGGACCATCTAACACATGTGCTTTGCCAGTTCAAATTGAATTGCGTGCCAAAAAGGATTTCTTAAACTTTGGGTTTCCCAAATGTATATAACCATAAGACTTGCTTACATGGTTTCTTAAACATATTTATTCCTGGGCACCACCCCAGACCTAATGAGTCAAAATCTTCCAAGAAGGGGAATTTCTTCCAAGGAGGGGAATTTCTTTCTTTTCTTTCTTTTTTTTTTTTTAATTTTGCTTTAGTTGAAAGTTCATAGCTTAAGGTAATTTCTATACAAAAATTTATACACATATTGTTTTGTGACATTAGTTGCAATCCCCACAACGTGACAGCACACTCCCCTTTTCCACCCTAGGCTCCCTGTGTCAGTTCAACCAGCTCCTGTCCCTTCTTGCCTCCTCATCCTGCCTCCAGACATAAGCCGCCCATTTGGTCTCGTGTATCTGATTGAACTAAGAAGCACACTCCTCACGTATATTTATTTTTTGCTTTATAGCCCTGTCTAATCTTTGTCTGAAGAGTAGGCTTCTGGAACAGCTTCAGTTCTGGGTTAACAGAGCATCGGGGGGCCATAGCTTCATAGGTTCCTCCAGTCTTTGTAAGACCATTAAGTCTGGTCTTTTTATGTGAATTTGAGTTCTGCTCCAAGGAGGGGAATCTATTTCTTAACCAGAGTTCCAAGTGAGTCCTTTGATGAGGCAAGTTTGAGGCAAGTTTGGCAAACACTGCACAAATACATTTACCCAACCATCCAAACACGCTCATAGTTAATGATGGAGAAGCTGATCTTCATACTGGGCAGGTAACTTTGCAGAGAGGGGAACTGGAAAAACAATTCAACTCACATTTATTTAACAACAACTGTTCCTTAGAATCATGATGGCTTTTACTGAGAGGGTGTGGTGGTATGGTGGTCATTCCTGTCCTTACCAAAGGTGTGTTTTTTTGTCCACTCTAGGTTCACGTGTAGATTCTAATTGGGATCTTTTTTGTTCCCAGGTGTATTTTTAACCTATGAAAGAAATGTAGAAATTGTAACAATTTTCTATTTAATAATAAGTTTGTCACTTTTTTAATTACTTATTTGGGATTTAATGCTTAAGAGCCAACTGTCCCTTATTTGATTATGATTAATATGACAACAGCAGAAAAGAGAGTTATTTTGAGTGGTCTGTCAACAATATGATTTGATTAATTCCAGTAACGTAACTCCTGTCCCAAAATATTTCTCCTGCTATCCTATTCCCAGTGTCTAAAATTTCAGAATTAGAGATACCTTCGGCAATAGGTTTGGTTTTTCTTTTTTTTCTCCCCATGGATTAGCCCTAGTGGCGCAGTGGTTAAGAGCTCAGCTGCTAACCAAATGTCAGCAGTTTGAATCCACCAACGCTCCTTAGAAACCCTATGGGGCAGTTCTACTCTGTCCTATAGGGTCACTATGAGTCAGAATCGACTCGATGGTAATGGGTTTGGTTTGGTTTGGTTTTCCCACAGATTAAAAAAAGTTATATTGAAATCTGAATTACCGGTAATTAAGCCTTATTGGGTAATGAACCCCCAGGGTGGCAAAAACAGTTAAACACTTGACTACTAACCAAAAGATTGGCAGTTCGAACCCACTCAGAGGCACCTTGGAAGAAAGGCCTGGTGATCTGCTTCCGAAAGGTCACATCCTTGAAAACCCTATGGAGCACAGTTCTATACAACACATGGAGTTGACAATGAGTCAGAATCGACTCAACAGCAACTGATTTGGTTTTGTTTTTTTTTGGTTTATTAGATATTAAAGGGTCAGTATATAACTTCCTGATACCTCTAACAATATCATATTTCAAACCGCTCTTAAAACTATATTCCAATGTTGTTGGGTGCTATCTAGTCGATTCCAACTCATAGAGACTACATGTGACCGAGCAAAATTGTCCCATAGCGTTCTCTTGGCTGTAATCTTTACAGGAGCGAATCAACAGGTCTTTCTCCCATGGAGCCACTGGGTGAGTTTGAACCATCAGTTTTTCAGTTAGCAGAGAAATATAATTTTCTCCACCCAAAGAAGACAAAGAATCTCCCTGCAGAATGAAACATACAATAAGCAAAATTTTACAGGCTGCCTCGGGGCCATGAAGAGTCCTGGTTACCAGGAGACTGGACCGCTAAAAGGAAGAGGTGCTGAAAGGACGCTGGGAGATCCCACCCTATCCCTAAAGAAACTTTGCGTATTTCACAACTCTACCATTCAGAATCAATTTTTAAAATGGGTTATTATTTCATTTCTATATTTACACACAATCTTTCTGTTATCACTTAACACATTTAGTACTGAGAAGTTTTTTAAAAAAAGTTTGAATCCTTGTTCCACGCCCAGCTCTGATGCTGTTGAATTCTTCCAAAGGTTCTCCAGCACCCCCTAGTGGTAGTTCCGGAACGTGAAACACCAAAACCGAATCCGCTGCTGTCGAATCCATTCAGACTCATAGTGACCCTATAGGACAGAGTAGAACTGCCCCATAGGGTTTCCAAGGAGCACCTGTTGGATTCGAACTGCTGACCTTTTAGTTAGCAGCCGTAGCTCTTAACCACTATGACAGCAGGGTTGGGGGTAATTAACACCTATTTTTAGCACTTTTTCCAGTGATGGGAAGCACCTTGCTTGCATCATCTTTTTCCTTCCCAAGGAAGTAGGTTTCTTAAGATTATTCTCATCTGCATATGATGAGGAAGCTGAGGTTTGTGTTAAATAACTTTCCCAGGGTAACATAGTGGTGGAAACAGATTCCTAAGCCGTCACATTTAATAGCCTTACTTTACAGAGGTATTGAGAGAGGTAGTGGTATTCAGCCACTACCCTGATCTGACTCCTCTATTGTTCCTGATACATTGTGCTCAGGGAAGTTACCAATATAATCACTCTTTTGTTTAAATATTTTTTATATGTGGATCTCCTCTTCTCCCAGATTTTATTTATATATATAATACATATATACAATTATAACGTATATACAATTATTTTAATTAATCTTCATATAATAATCTCCAGATTTCTTTTCATTTTGGTTAGGTTGCCTTCCTCTGGATTCAATCTGAAATCTCACTTTCTCTCTAAAAATTAATTCCTCAAAAACACAATATTCCAAACAAGTTTATTTTCTCAATATGTATTTTTCAGAACCAAAGAAGTGCTGGGCACTGCAGTAGGCAATGAAGAATGTGTCAGACACAATCACTGCCCTCAAAGAATTTATAATGGATTGGTCTGACACTTGCCCATTATGGCTTGTGCTTTACTCGGCCTGGACATTACACCTCTATTAAAGGAGTTTAATATTGCATTAATTTTTTAATAAATGCTGGAAAAGCTAACAGCTAATATTTGAATAATTATTCTCATATGCCTTTTCTCATTTTCTACTGATAATGCTCCTCTGAGTTAGTTAATATTAATCCCAACTTAACAACGAGAAAGCCAAGGGTAAGTGGCTTGCCCATAATCACTAATAATCAAATAATCTCAATATGGTGGTGATAGGTCTTAAAACCCGTCACCACACTGAGATTAAATGTAGACTGAGTTCACCATCACACTTCTTCTCACATCACACTAATGATTCATACTGAGTTTGGAGGTTAATTAATACCTCTCACTCTTTTTAATTTGAGCCTTGATGATTCAAGTCACTATTATCCTACACTTGTGAAGCTGATTTTTTGAGCCTATTTATAGGAATTTACATTTATGCAAATTAAATATTGTAGAATTGGTTTGATCCATAGCCAAAAAGTCTTTAT